TGAGACTACTCAACACTGACAAAATTTTATTTTTATTAAAACCACTGACAATCATAAAATAATGAGCATATTATTTTTATACGAAAATATTATAGCCTCAAACAATTTCTGTTATTTATGTACGTTTTTTCATGTACTTACTTCGGCGTACCTCCGAATTTGCTTGTAGATTTCGGGAGTGCATTTTAATTTTTTTTCTGCCATTACTTACGAAGAATTTAAGAAATATACACAGCTGGCATTGTGTCCAACTCCTCTATACGCGACCCACCGAAAACGGCTTCGTCGGCACTCCACGGGCGATAACCAAAATTCATTTGTACCGACCACCTGTGTTCTAAATATCCCGTGTTTCTATACCCTTATTACAAGCATTTGATTAAAATTTAAATCATTTACATCATTTTAATCAATAATTGTTTTTTTATTGATAATATTTATATATTACGATACAATAATAAATTATAATAATCAAAGCAATGTGAACAACTTTTGCTTCAACTTTAATTTGACTTAATCTTACTCAATTTATTTTCCCTAACTTTTCTAAAAATCATGAAAAATTCACATTTGTATTAAATATTTTTAGATGCTTGAGCAAATGAAAAGGAAAATACTTATTATATATACTTAAATTTCATTTCACAGTTAAATTTCATTTCATTAAAATGTCAACATATTTATGAAACTACTTTTGAAGTTAACTTAAAGGAAACTTTTATAAAAAAATCTTGCGGTTCAGTACTTATGTGCGAAGGGTCCTCATCCCTTGAGTGATGTCAACGAAAGTATCTTGTTTTCTAAAAAACAAAAATATTCTTAATTTCGTCATACAAAAACCGTCTAAATATTTTATATATAATATAAATGTATCATCAAAAATTATTATTATGACCTAATAGCCTTACATATTACTAAAGGAATTATTTTAAGAACTCGCTTATTAATATTTCCACAGATTTTTATCATACCTCACAGAATCATCATATATTTATGTGCAAAGATCTTTACTTATTTTAAATTTCATTAAACTCTATTAAAGGGAAAACTAAAATTTATAGCTTAACAAAAATATATATTATAACGTTACACAAGTTTCAAAGGTGAAAACTAAGTTTTGTTTATGATATCGAAAATAAACATTTCCAGCATTTACGTTTTTCCCATAAACATTCAGGATTATTGTAACAACAATGTATAATATATGTATACATATATGTATCATGATACCCTAGTTCTTCTTAGTTTCAAACAGAAAATTCATTTTTAAAACAACTTTCTTTGAATATCATAAAATAGTAGTACATAAAAGAGAAAAAAAACATCAATAAAATAATAAAACTAGAGTTAAACTAATAAACACAAAACTTTCAAAATTATAACAATCAAATGTAACGACATTTGAACGATCTTCATTCACATTAATATCCTGAAAAGTAGACATAATTTTTCCTATTTTTCCTGTTCAAAAAATGTAATTATATTCTTCCTCTAGTGATGTGTTTAAACTTTTTTTTGTTTTTATACCAGAAAATTTAGTCAGAGGTGGCCTAGTGGTTAAAAAGCCCGCATCTCATGCACGAGGGCGCGGGTTCGATCCTGACCCTGGCAAATACCAATGTGATTTTTCCGAGTCATATGAACTTTCCTAAAAGTATTTAGATATAACTGATTAATACGTTCCTAAAGAGGGTTGATGTCAGGCAGGCAGTCGGTCGTAAAAACAATAAGCCAAAACTATTCACAACACGTAAGGCAGTTCCTGGCTAAAGCTGGGAAATTGCCAGGTAAGAGAAGAAAATTAAACATCAATTAATGCGATGAATTCAATTAACTTTTAGGAAACTGAGATTGTAAGTATAAAAGGAATTATAATTCTTAAAAACCTTTCGTGGATTGATCTCAATACATTACATATGAGCTTAGATTATGTGAATTAATTTACTCCAAGACAAATCATATTATTATATAATATTTATATGCTGTAATCTAGCGGACATTTAGTATAATAAATGGGCAAACAAAGAAAGATACATAATTTTACAGGGTAGATAAATTGCTATTAAATTGTAGCAACTTATCTACAATTACATTCTGTTCACTAGACAATGAAAAATAAACTTTTAAAAAGAAAATAACAAAACCTATTTCACACAAAACCAACCATAAAGAAAATAACAAGCATTTGTCATTTTAGGGACCACTTTCTTTTGAAGAAATCTATCCAAGCTGTAATTTTTTAATATTCAATTACTTGAATACAACCAAATTATCCATACCTTCTCCATTCCATTTGGATTCATTTCAATGAATATTTTCTCCTAATTTGTTTGATTCGTGCACTCATACACTTCAAACAGGTTTTCATGAGCCATCGGTGCTTACAAGTATTTCTAAATATAATAATGTTTTGATATACTGTATTAATCAAGTAAGAATATAAAAAATACCTAGACGCCTGAAAAATAAATATAATTATAATTTATTTTAAAGTATTTACTAAAGCCAATTCTTAGAAGGACTGTTAATAAATAAGAAATAAGAAAGAAGATCTTGCATTGAAAGCATCAAAATTTATTTATGTTGTTATATTAAGTTTGTACATTTAGCTATATTTTTGAAGTCAGTTATATTTTTCCATTCTAGTTCTACGTATTCTGTACTTTAAATTATTGCAGTATATTATATTATGTATTCTGTAAAATTGTTAAGCAAAAACTTTTTTGACGAAACCTTATCTTGGTATAAATTATTTGGTAATTTTCTCAAAAACTTATTTGGTAATTTTCTCAAAAAGTTTATGGTTTATTTATCTATTTAAAATACGTGATGTATCTTGTGTTCGGTCATTAGAATCTATCATTTACTTAAAACTTGTAAAATACTAGATTAAGTTTTAAGTATCATAGGATATCTTATGAATAACCTAAGAATTTTAGAATTATTGTAATAGTTTTTTATTCATTATTCTCTATTTTAATATATTATACTATAAAAAGTAAAAAGAGTTTCCCTGCGACATCAAAAAAATATTACACTATACTCTATATTAATATATATTTTATTTTAAAGAGTAAAATAGACATTAATGTTAACTTGTTAACTTCGAAATAATAAAAAACATTATTGGTTACATACATATTAGAACCGAAGGAGTGCGACATGAGAAGTGAAAATGCGCTCGACAAAATCCTTTCAACAAGCATCTCGACCATATTCTCATGATTCTATACTACTTCATGTCTACTTCAGAAGCAATTTTCGTGATTATTTCCTTAGAGTTGTGCGGAACACTTAAGGTTGTGAACGAATGAGAAAATTGCCATTATTTGAGCTTCCTATATCGATTTTCTATATTTATCAATTGGAATAGATAAATGATTATGTTTTTATGATTACAGCAACGCTGAACTAATATTTAAAATTATAAAATGAGAAAATTATCAACACGAGCAGATTTGTAATTTGAAACCTTCGGAATCACGTTCAAAATTTTACTAACTAAGCTATTGGTTTTGGCCTCTCCGCAGTGTTTATTCTATAAAACAATCAATAAAACTGTAAATATTAGTTTTTCGGTAAAAAAACCGAATAAGCGGCTCCTCCGTCCTAGTATGACTTTTAGTATAAAGAATGCGTATTTTACCAACTCTAGATTTGTAAAATAATGAATTCTTTTTGTACATTATCTAATTTTTATTTGCTATATATAAAACTCATTATTTCTTGAAGATAATATTTTTACTTTTCGTCTCTTGTAACAATTTGCGACAAATTTTTATGATTTAGTTCTTTAGAATTTTATTATATGTATAGATTAAATAATTTTATATTTATCTTGTATGGATCATTCTAACGGATGTGAACAATTTCAGTGACACACCAAATATAGTCAACGTTCATATTAAATTGAAATGTTAAAGCGAAATGTTGGAAGCGTTCGGAAATTAAAAAATCATTTGAAGGAAATTTAATATTGAGGGCGAAAATAGTTTCCATTTTAAACTGAAGTCTACTTGGACATCAGACGTAAAGATATTTTATATAAAATTGGTTTGAATTTTATTGTGAAACTGAAATATTAAATGTAGATTTATCTTTTAATAAACAAGAAAAATATGATAGTGTGCTGACCCAAACTACCTACTTAGAAAATTTGTCATCAATTAAGGAAGCCAACAAGAGTTAAGCGTGAATTATTTATTTTCAAATATCTTTTGATAAAGCCACAATTGACCCAAACTATATTATTTCGTCGTTGAATTTAGTTGAATCTTCAAATGATGTCATAAATGAGATGGTATCTCATATGAAGTACTTCAAAAAAATCAACAAGAATAGCAGTTTTATCCGAAACCAGGGAAGTTTATTAAATAATAGACAAGTTTGCATCTCTCGGACAAGATATAGAAGAAACAATCTCTTTGAACAGCAAATCTTCATCTGCAATGATTAAAAGAAATTTTATCTTCTTCATGTGTATGACATTAGTTGTGTGCTGTTATATACCTCGAGGATATCAGAATAACACGACTCAAGTTAAAGAAACAAAACCGGGTTGCAACGTTTGGTGTCGGTTGCAGAAGATAGTGTTGTATGCTATACAACAACTTTTAAGTGATAAGTGATAAATATTAAATTACAATATTATTCAATTATTTAAATAAAAACGATCAGCAGAAACATGAACAATTTATGATTTGAAATACTATATAATAATACCACACTTTTTGTTTCATTTCTATTTTATTCGCTACTAAAAAAAATTAACAATACAAGAAGTATTATGAAACGAACACCTGGTCATGTAAAGCACTTTAGTCGTTATCAAATTCTTAATACCGAACAATAAGTCATTGTTTAGCAAACTTTGTAGTATATAAAACATCGTAGTTGAAATGAGGGAAATAATTCAACGACTGAGTAAGAATTTCAGTTGTAAAATACGTTCATAAAAACATGGTTGTATTATAAGCCGCTCCCATTACCAGAACACGAAAATGTATAGTAAGTATTTTTAATAAATTAGTTTGCTTAAAGTTATAAGGACTGTGAAGCAAAATATTTAATGCGTATATTTTGTTTTTACACACCAAGAACTATTTAAAACGTAACTATCAAATATTTTTATTTATGTTAAAACCAGGTTTTATCTAAATATTATTAAAAATTAACGAAGATAATAGCATAAAGACTTAAATAATTATATCGTATGTTCACCTCAAATATGAGTTAAGCTTCAATTGAACAAAGTTTTATCCTAAACATATGTTTTTAATTAATTGAAAATATACAAGCAGAAATATTTTAATTCAAGATTTACTCTCCAAGTTTAGTGAAACGAAAAAATATTTGGTCTGATACATTCTATATATATATATATATATATATATATATATATATATATATATATATATATATATACAGAATGTATCACGTATCACAGTTTTATTAATATTTTTCCTTTTTTTATATGTTTTTTCATTCCTATATTTTCAAGTGTAGTAATTTATTTTAACATGTAATCTTTAATTTTAGGACAAATTGGTAAAGCTCTTTAAATTATTTGAAAAAGTGTTTAATTTCTTATTTTATACTTTAGAATAATTAATGTATTTCAGTACTATTCACCCTCACAATTGTATTACTCGGCACAATAAATTGTTACAAGCACAGCAAGTATTTAACAAAAAGCTTGGACTCAGAGCCCTCGTTATCAATACTGTACGCCCGAGACAAGAAAAGTGACATGATCACTAATGAATGCCTCATGGAAATGTACCCACGGAATTTGTATAAGTACCCCTTACACATAGACAGGAACGACATACCGTGCATCATACATTGTGTGTTAAAAAAGTTCGGCATCATGTCCAATGATGGTATTATAAACATAAGGAACTACTACAGACGGGTGCAAGCCATCCATCGATACGATCCAAGGGTTTTGATATCGGATGTTGGAGAGACTTGCGCACAAAATATTAACGGCATGAATTTGGACCATGACGTCTGCAAGAAGGCGAAAGTATTTAACGATTGTACGCAGCTATATGTGATATCATATAAAGATCTGGAAGATTGATATGCATGGTCTATTTAACATTTGTATTTTTATATTAAATTTTATACAATGAATAAAATATCATATATTATTTTTACTGAACCAAAATAGACCAACAATTCACCAATATAATATAAAAAATGAGGCTTACTTTTTTAAAATCATGATATGAAATTGACATATTTAAATTTTGGATAATATAGATCATATCATTCTATCAAATGTAACCTACACGCAAGAGTAAATAGCAAGGACAGTTTTGCAATATATATCGCAATATTCATATGCCAAAGTACATCTAAATCATCTAATATTTATTGCTTACAAGCAATATATACAAATGGGCATATATATCAAAGATTTTCAAATTTGCTTCGTTCATAAATACTACAAATCAATACATGTTGTTTGTAAACGAAGATTAATGGGCAGTTCAATTGAAATTCTCGAACAAAATCTGTTTTAATATAAGAACATTTTCTGTTTCCGTATATTTTTCAATCTTATTGTTCACAAGAAATCACAAAGTGAAAAAATATATATTTTTTAAATGGAAAAAATATCAAATATTTTATATATTTCTAAATCTATTTTAAGGAGATATACGAAGAATCTTCATAATAAAACCCAACGTTTATTTCCAGGCAGTTTGACCCACACTCGGTCTTTGACTTTTAAATCCCTCTTTATCAACGTCAGTTTAAATTTACGTCTCGTTTATTCAGAATGAGATTTGATTTATTAAATTAACATTGACGTATATTTGAAGGGTTTCGTACAGAACCTTTTAAATCACTTTAAAATTAATTATCAACACAAAATTAAATAATTCTAGTCACTTTGGAACTGCCTTTTATATCCCTAAAAGGTTGAGGTAAATTTCCTTGTTCCTGACCCTGTTATGATAGCCAACAGGATTGATATATCATTTAGTGTATGAATTTATGTTATTGTTTCCGTATATCTTCTTCTACCTGGCAATTTCACAGCTTTAGTCAGGGCCTGCCTTACATGTTTGGAATAGTTTTGGCTAATTATTTTTACAACCGGCCACCTGCATAACGTTCACCCTCTTTGGGAACGCATTAATCTGCGATGTCTAAATACTCTTAGAAAGTACCTATGACTCGGAAAAATCACATTGCTACTTACCAGGGCCAGGATCTAACCCGCGCCCTCGTGCATGAGAGGCTGGCCCTGTAACCACTAGGTCACCACTGACCTATAACGACTATATATTGTTTTCGTATATAAAGTATATAAATATATACAAAAAACACAATTTCTGGCTGTGTATATTATATTTATATTTCTTTATAAGCCATAAATAACTTGATGAAATAATTGGAAATTTGAGTTTATCTGTTTTTTTACAACGTTGCAGAATATTACTTTAACCGATCCTCATAAAAATATTATGAGAACAGAGAAAGAAAAATTATTCTCATCGTCTTGAATAAAAAATTTTTTCTTAAGACATCAAAAATGATATGTAAATTTAATTTTGGTATAAATGTGGGATGATCATGAAAAAGAGGTCCAAATAATAGTGTAAAGGGACCAAAAAGCCTGTAAAACTAGTTTTAAATAAATTTACACTGGGAAGTAACTATAATGAAGCTTAAATATGGGTTGTATTTGAACAGGACTACTTTGTGTACTCATACGGCTATATATGTAATTAATATATGTATGTATGAATAAGGGTAAAACTACTGGGTAACAAACTAACACATTAATTAATATAATTAATTTGTGTACTGAGACTGACTATAATTTTTCTTTTGAGCTGATTCTTTTATATATTACTCTATCAACAATTTATTAACACGTTATTTGGTAGTGCAACCACTAAATGGTATGTGAAGAAATGTTTTATTAAAAGCCAAATCAAATATATTGGAATGAAAAATGCATCGACGCAGAATAATAATATTTTTCTTACACGAATTTGTTTAAAAATATACAAATATTTTCAGTTTCTACACAATATTCTTTGTTTCAGAGATAATATCGGCCATTTTACTTCTATCATATACTGCTTACGCACGTATTTCAGTTATGTACGCACACGAGAAGATATCTGATATGGTTGCGCAACAATGCCTCACGGAAATGTACCCGAAGGGAAAGAAAATAGAATTACAAGAATCCGACGAGTCCTGCATCATTTATTGCGTTTTGAAGAAGTTCGGCATTATTAATGGCAATGGACAATTTAACTTAGACATTTATAGGTAATAATTTTATTCATTTTAAAACCACGAAACATCTATATCATGATATAATCAAGTTTACAAGCGCGTCCTTTATCTAACTTTTAAAGCATTTTAGATATCTTAGCATAAAAAAACCTCTATACTAATCCTTCAATTTCTTCTTATACAACTGAAGTCTTTAGGAGGACACCAAACTTACAACACCTTCAACAGGTCATAAGGACTGGTTTACCATCAACTAAGCAGTTAGTTTATGGGTGCCCTAATATCATTAGGCATATTTTAAGTAGTGGAATAGTCAACCTTATAAATAAAATACTTGATTGAATAGTAGACCAAACAATTCTTGTAAAAATTAATATCAGCAGCTTCGTAGAAAACCTAATATGACATTAGTTTATATAAAATTCTTTCTTGAGAATTATTATTTATATCGTGATAGGTTACTTTAATCGAGGTCTTCAAGCACATTATTTTTTATATAAAGATATTTCTTTAGCCTTTCAGTAGGTCGCAACCTTCTACATTTACAGTGATATTTAGTTTCCTTAACGCTCCAAGCTAAAGGTGTCAGTTCGGCTTTAGAAAAAGAAAATGAAAAATCTAGACACTACAGATGAAACAAACAAAAGGTTTTGGTTTACAGAAAAAATAAATAAATATTTATATTGTAAAATAAAATTATTCAACAGTATTAGTTACAGTATACATATTTTTTTTACGATTTGCTTAAAAGTTTAATTGAACTCTATGGATTTTTTTATTTCTATAATAATGTATTTTGTCAATTAGGTTTTCATTGAATATTCTAGCAATTTTATACTGTTTTATGTCAAAATATTCTCTTTGGCAAAGTAAAATTTAACCACAAAGATTTTTAAAGGAAACGCGTACAAATGGCTCATCAACTCGATAGTCGTAACTTGATGAACGACAAAGGCGGCGCATGCGTTGAGAGCGCGGAGGCGACACAACACAAACAAGATGTTTGCAAGAAAGCCAAAGTTTTCAACGACTGTACACATCTCTATAGAATGATATTTTAATAACAGTTATTTTACTTTTCTGCATATAATTTTAGTTTTTATAAGAACCATATTTTTTATATTTAAGCATTTCAAAAATATACTATTATTAAAAATGATTTGCACTATAATTGTATTTGTTAAAAAAGATATCAGTTTATATAGAATGTAAACAATATACAATAAAATATTTGTCATTAAATTAAATTTTATTTAGTTTATTACATATTAAAATTATAATTACACAAGTACTATTGCTTAAGTAAAAAAAATTCTTCATAAAATTTTACTCGCCGCTATCGTTATAAGTGCATTCGATCGACAAAGTTTAATGATTTCGTTCTTAAATTAAACGAAGCCTTTATGAGAAAAGACAATCTATAATAAACGTGGAGTCGCATTAAAAAACATTTTCTCTGTACTTGTTGAGATTATATAGAGAGTAAGAGTTTTGAAATTTAATAATGAAGACTCTTAGGAGGTTTGATGTCAAGAAATAGATGCGAAAACTATATGAAAAGTGTTGTCCGATTAAGAAAATTTGCATCACTTATTTTATCCATCATCTGTTATGAAATAAAGTAAGATTCACTATTATAAACTATCACTATTCTGCACCAATTGTATGGTTTTTCCAAGCCACTATAAATCTTTTGCGTTTTCATAAATGCAAGTGTATAACAGAAAATATTCCTTTTAATGTCCGTTCCACTACATAAAATTTGTAATTACCTTTTCACTGGCGCTTTGTACAATAGTCCACACCCAAATTGCATTGTCTTTCATAGAGTTATTTCGTATAATTAAACAGAATGATTAAAAGGGAGAACAGAAGAAAATTAACCTTACTATTTTAAGCTAATATTCTTCATATTAAATTTTATTTCATAAAAGAACGTTAGTTGCTCGCCATTTTGTGAATGCTGCTAGAATGTTTACTAAAATGTAAGTGCTTTGTACGAGTTTGAATCGCCAAACTGAACCGGCCGTTTAAAGCTATTAAACTTAAAAATTCTTTTCAAAGTATTTACTCACAACATTGCAATCTCGGTGAAATTTAAGTTCAAAGACAGATGGAAAGAAAGAAAATTAAAGTACTTTTAAATTTGAATAAAAAAAAATTAAAAATACGATAGTAAATAGGGAGATTTCAAACATGTTTATTGTGCGTTTAAAGGTACATGTAAAGGTAAAACGTCTCATCTGCAAACCTAACCTTGCAACCAAATAGTTATACATATATTACATAAATTATAATTTTATCTCTATGTTTTTGGAGCATTACATAAGATAATATGATATGTTCTTTTTGAATATAAGTTTGTAAATAGGTAACTTTGACCTATAAAAGTTTATTTCATATTGTTTTTTCTTAAACAACAGAGATGTGTTTGATCAGCAAGCAGACAGAATTTAAACCACCTTTTAATTACAACAAATATTTGAAATGTTTTTTTATCCCTCGTCTATGTACTTTTTTCAAACAGACTTTATCTAAATTTGAAATCTTTTAATTTCGCGTTACTTTTAATTCAATTTAAAGGTCAACATTTCATTAAAAATTATTGTAACAATAATAATTAATACACACATATTAAGATTTCTACTCAGTATTTTTGTTTATTTTATGATATGTTTTTTGATCAACTGACTCAAATTTTGGCTAATTATAATTCTTACCGAAAACCCATATACATTAGCAAAAAAAATCGTTATTTTCAGGAAAAAGGTATGAAAATAAAATCAACCACCCTTGTAGCATTCCTTATAATTTTGTAGTAGAAAATTTTAACCAGGTCAATAACAAAAAAAGAATCCAAGAGCATGTTTTATATATTTTTTTATTTTAAAACAATTCATACATTATACGGAAAATGTATGAAATTATTTTATTACCAAATCAGTTGCCGCTTAACAATTGCGATATAACGAACATGGCAATCTTCTGAATCCAGCACCAGATGGAACAGCCTGGCTTCTGTGGAGGCTCCTCTTCCTCCTCCTCTCCGGTGGTAGGAGCCACAGTTGTAGCCTCTTCTTCACAAATCACACACGCTACCATCAACATAAGTAAAGTTACTACCAACTTTAATGTTAACTTCATTTTTGTATGGTATTTTATTTTTTGTTTATCGTTACACCGCTTGGTTCTGAATGTTGATACAAAATATTATATTTTCAACATATAATATCGATGCCTATCATGTATTTGGGAGGACAATTTAATTCTCATTACGCTATTGTGATCTCTCCGTTGTTGCGTATAAGTAGTTATTATGAATTGCTTTGTTATTTATTTGATTGTGGATAATATTATCATTATTATTTACATTATATTCTATTTCGATCCAATTAACCTTTTATGTAATTTGATGTTTCATGTATATTTGTTATAAAAGTAGCATATTTATATAATAATCCTTATCAATACTCTATGTGAAACTAGGTATTTACGTTATATCAAACAAAATCTTACTTATATGTAATATTTAAATTTACCTGCTTAAATTTTATGTCTTTTATTAAGATGATCTTAAAACACTTTTAAAACATTTTTTCCAAATCATATCTAAATTCTTATCAAAATCATTTACAATATCTTATATTTTTTGAATGAAAGTTTATTAGTTCCAGTACGTATGCTTACGTTCCTTAAGTTACTGAATATAAAGGTATCAACAGATACAATTTACTTTAGATATATCGTTATATAAAATTGTATAAGAAATTTCATAACCGCATATTACGACTCCTTCAATATTGTGCAGGACTATTTCTTGTCATGTTATATTAATAAAGTACCATCAGAACTAGAACGGTTACGAATATTGGATGATATTTTCAAACTAATATTCAGATATTGGGGTGAAGTCAATACTGATACAAATAATATTGAATATTATGGTAGGGACAACTTTGCTTTAACTAATATATTTAATAACATTTTTATATTTCCTCTTCAATAACCCTGTAATAATTTTACAATTTCCATGCTAATTGAGATTTATAATAAGTACTTTTATTATTAACACGTGTACTTAGAAGTACACGTATCTAGGGATATTAAACATTGTCGAACTCAACAATCTTGACAAATTCTTCGTAGACGGTGTCGTAAGAAGCCTGAGAGTTTTTTAAACAATTTTTAATATCAAGCAATTACTCGTTTTAACTCCGAGAGTTTTGAAATACTTTCTGAGGAAATTCGTTTCAGTGATCTCACTATAATTCATTCCATATTTTATTAAACGAGGAGTATAATTTATGTGTAAAAAAATATTATCACCTAAATGTTGAAATTCTTTGTTATACTATTTTATTACGATTTTCTTCAAAAGTTTCCTCTGTTCTACATAATTATGTAGATCGTGATTACTTTTTTCTAGGATTCAGTATAATATCCTAAAGTATTAAGTTTTTTAATATCACTCACTTTTATATAGGACTTCCCTAAATTAGGGAGAATATTGTTTGAAATCATTTATATTTTCAATCAAAAAATATGTTGTTAATTTTCTGGAAAAAATATATGTTCATAATGAAAATTTATATATTTTCGGAGCCACCTTTCAATGATATTAAAGGAATATATAATATATAGAGAATATATATATATATATATATATATATATATATATATATATATATATATATATATATATTAATTAATATATATATTATATTTAATATTATTATATTTTATGAAGCATTTTTTCATGAAGAAACTACTTAGTTATTAGGTCTTAGAAATTCTTAAGTAAAAAATGTATTTACTCTTACGTAAATTTATTGGAAGAGGTTATAATACCAAAAATCATCAAATTAAATTAGAATAATTTTAATATTCGTATTAAATGATGTCTAAAGCTACAAACTTATTTAAACCTTATCAGGAACGTTATTTATTCATTTTTTAATATGATTATACTAATAAACGGTGAACGCTATTTTCATGAGGATTCAAATATTCAAGCTTTTTTCAAAATAGAAATAAGAAAATACTTTTTTAACTAAAGTATGTATTCCATGTATTGGGCTATTTTTTACAAGCGACGAGTAAGAAATATGTTTACATGAGATATAATAAGTAAGTAACGATTGGTCAAATACATCTTGTAGAGACGCCATTTGTAAACTAAGTTGAAAATAGTACCTTTGTTTAAGTTTTAGTGAACCATTTTTGAAAAAAACTAAGCCTTTAAAACCAAATCAAAAAACAGTCTATACTTAAATTATAAATCGTACATAATAAAATTATATTAATATATCATGTTTAATCTATTAAAGTTTTTACTACCCTAAATAGTTTTCCTTCATTCGTCTTTACATGCAAGAATCTTACAACATAATTAAACATGATTAAGAAATAAAAAGCTTTTCAGACCAAAAACCCAGTAAAATGATAACACTCTATTAACACACCTAGTAAATGTGATTCTGTACAAAAGTAGCACATTCTAGAAATGAATAATTGAATTCACCCTCAGTGCTTCTTTTTATAATGAAAAAAACTACTCCGCTACATTCGTTTCAGAGAAACGTGCTCGGTCTCTGAGATGAGGGGAAATGGATTTTTTATTAAATCAGTTTGAAATACTGAATCCTCTGCTTCCAATATTTTCCTTTCGTAGACATCATTTATATCTTCATTAACAAAACTTTGATGTTTTAGCATTAACAGTTTTATACCGATATAATTACTTTTTAATTGCACATTAAAAAAAAAACGTGAATATTTTGAAACGGTATAAAACAAAGTATACAAGTTAGATAAACAATTTTTGATGCTATAATTATTTTGTATGTGTTGAAATAAGGCTGTGGAAATAAGAGCACAAAACTTAAGACAAATAATATCCACTCTTTCATTTCTTGTAAACAGACTGAATCGTAGATTAAGTGTCAAGAAGAAAAATAACTTAAAGCATCACCTAAGGCAATATAATTTCACCTTTTCAGAATACCGTTCCTAGAGCCTTTAATAGTTATTAAGTATTTATTACAAAAAATATTTAAATCTTGGTTTGGATTTTAATGGGAGATAAATAAGGGTATAATTTTGAAAACAGTGACTACAGAATCTCTCCTAGTTCTCGTCTCAGTAGAATAAATAAACTAATCAAATTATACATTTATTGATAAGATTACATTTGAATTGTATACCACCAATTTGGTTGCCATTGAATATCAACACAATTAAAACGGCAGTAACTGGAGAACCGACTCTACAAGTTTCGAAATTAATAATAGATATTGTTTTACAAAATTATATCTAACATTTTCGTGAAAATTTTGAAAATGTACTATGGTTTTCGGATTTACTACTCGCAGTAATTATATCTTTAAACAATTTAGCCGACAATTTAAACGAATAGCGATCACGGGTAGACGAGGTGAATGTCTGTCAGTTAGTCTCGTATTTCACCGTCTACCGCTAACTATTTCTTAATTTTCTTGCTTCCTGCTCTGGATGCACTCGGAATGGGCTAACTTTATCTGGAGTTCTATTAATATAGTCACGGATGTTGAGTTTCATATTTTTGATGCCAAGTTCCCAGGTGTTAGATACTTGCCAGGCCCATTCTCTATATCTACTGAAGTTAATCCACCAGGCTATTTAAAAAATATGCTAATTTCAATAGAAGAGATAGCGAGAAAAAAAGGAATTGTGGGCGCTAGATATCAAAAACTAGACTAACAAACAAAAATGCATCTCGTCTGCCCGTGATCACGGTTCCTCTAAAAAAATATAATAAGTACCCGTAATATATCCAAAATCCAACGTATCATTTGATTATTATTTTGCAATAATGTATTAATACATTAGTTCTTCGTACAACCTCGCACCGCACCATCTTAAAAATATGTTCTCAGTCTGTAAAAATATCTCCTACTAACTGGAAAATGGATGTAATCAATATTAATATTTGATATTCACTTTATTGGATTTTGCAGAAATGTTCCTTGAGTTTGCTTGCACTCAACTAAAACATTTCATTTCACGTTTAAGATCTGCGGTAACTTGGGACAGAGTTTAATTAAAATTATTGCATTTCCCTCAGCTTCACCTCACAATTTACACAGAGTAATTAAACCTCAGAACAAAATGTTTGTTAATTCTGAAACTTCATATAACTATGTCAGAAGGAAAATTGTGAGAGTGTACGTGAAGCTAAAATAACTGTAAAATTAAGAAGCTAATTAGTTTGTAGCTAAGTGAGTAATATAACTCGGTGTTGTACAATTTCATGTTGATAAAATACTTATATTAAACGTTCAATTCTCCTACAATATGTCAATATTACTAAAAACTTGGATATAGGTTATAATAAATAAATAAAAAATTATAATTATTATTTTTTATTTCAGAAAAGATTATTACGACTAATGATATCAACTATCAATATTCTTTACTATACTTCAATGAAAATTCGTTAAAGTGTCACTAAATATTTAAGCAGTACGCGTAGTACAACATGAAATTAATTTAAATTACAAACACAACGTTCAACAACTGTCGGAATACCAACGCAAATTGAAAATTTCAACTGTACGACACTCAAACAAATGACTCAGCACCTATTTATGTTTGAAAATTTACAAAATGTTTTTAATGTATTTTTATAACACCAGTAAAACATTTATTTTATCTTATAGACACTTAGAATCATTCTCATACATTTTAAAGATTATTTTGAATATACCTAATATAAAATAATTACGGTATACATAAAATTACATTTTTTTTCAGTGCATCTATTGAAGTATGTGATTTCCAATCTACAAATGCAAGAAATAGGCAATGTAAATAAAAGACATGAATACAAAACAAAAAGCGTTCATTACGTATGAACTCTTATCTTCGCAATGAATAGGAAATTTTCAAACAATAGGGATTACTAACGCTGCAATTAGCTTTGTGTACTTTATAAGTGCAATTGGATTGTTCTAACAATCTTCGTGAAGCCGAATGTAAGTATACTTTCTGACATTCTATTTTAAAAAATAAATTGTACTTAGGTTTCAAATTGTTTAAGCATAAAACTAAATTATTGTGTCTGACATATCTTTAATAATGTATGTGAAAATTTGTAGTAATTTTTATGGTGAAAGATTATAAAAGGTTTTTAAAAATTCCAAACACGCTTCCCTGCTTCATTATACGGAACTGGAAATTTATGGTTTCAAGTAGAGGGTAGTTCGAAGGCTAATAAATTACAATGAATAAACATAAGGCGTTAAAAAGTCATTCGTACGTTCAGAATAATTAATTGTTGTTAGAATTCTGACATAATTGTCAGGCTTTAAAACTTATGGAGGTTTATCTTGAATAATTTATGTGGAGGCGGGAATATTACAATAAATTGCAAATTGAAATACAGTAATAACGATCCAATTCTTTATAGAAAAATCTTTGTATAATATAAAAAAACTTGTCAAAGGCAGTGAAGCCAGCAATTATATATGAGTTAAATTATTTTTAAAATCAACGTATAGAAAATACCAGGTCAGCATAATAAGCCAGGAGTTTAACTGAGCATGCAAGCCTTATAACGTTAGTCTTATGTATTTTTCTTGTTTTTCAGCAACATGCAGCTCTACGTACTTCTGTGCTTGATTGGACACGTACTTGCAAGTAAATCGCACGGATACTCCGGTACCCTGGTAGACTTCACTGATCCTAAGGTAAGCTTACAAATAAAACCATTTTAAACGTCTATTTTTATTTACTTTATTACTAAAGGACTCTAAATGTCATCAAATTTCTTTTCCATACAAGCTATATAAAGCGCAATTTATTCTTTATCTTTTATTATATAAGTATGCTCTTTATTTCGTTAAGGTACAAGGGCACTTGGACGCTTTAGTCCGGATGGCACAATCTTGCGTCATCAAAGTACGGGCGTCACCAAAGGACGTGAGAGCGTATTTCACGAATTCCCCTCCTATTACGAGATCAGGGCAATGTTTCGCAGCTTGTATGATGGAGCAGAGTGACGTCATCAACCATGGCAAGGTTCGTCTTCAGTTACGAATAATTTTATTGTTATAAAAAGATTTGTAATATAATACATAAGTCTATAAAATATTTAACAAATTTATAACACTACGCAGGTTAACAGGGAACTATTGATCCATCTTGCAAGTCTGGTTAACGGCAAAAATTCCGGTGTTGTACGCAAATTACATTCCATTTCTCGATTATGTCTGGACAGTATAGAAGGCATGTCCGACAGATGCCAGTTAGCCTCTACGTATAATGACTGTTTGAATGAGAACATGATTGAGTTTGCGTTCCCGCTCGATATCGCCGAAGAGGCAGTTCGTAAAATGCCATTTCATCTCATCCAGCCAAAGTAAGTAGTAGCTCTATTTTTGAAATACAGATTTAAACATCAATGTCTTTTGTCGTTATTAGAATTAAATTTGTATAAACTACATAAAATTATATTATTACAATACGAAACTGTCAAAATACACAAGAAGTATAAATCATAAAAATATTACATTTTCACAATAACAAAATCATCCAACCAAAATAATAAGTTGAGTAAAAAGGCTCAAAGAAAGAAGTTCTATGTGTACTAAAGGCAACCATAATGGCGCCTCAAATAAAGACAACAATGAAAGATGACTAAAGTGGCGGCTTTATCCTGTTACTGACCCACGCTATCTGGGTCAATTTACTCAAAATGACGATATATGGAATTATGAAATTCTCTTTGTACTTATACTATGTGCCAAGTTAAAACTTTCACAATATTATAATAATCAAATAGTTTGACATAGCCTTAAAGTAAATATAACAATACATATTTTATATTCAGAAATAAAAAAACTCATAGTCGCAATTACAACAAAACCTTTATAAAATGGCTAGTCCATCAACCAAATCTGCTTACATTGTCTTTACCCAGTGAATCTATTTTTGTGTGAATCCAAACAAAGCACTCAGTTATCTTTGACAAAAACAGAAAAATGGTTTTAAAAGCTTTTAAAGCGACGTCTGCTTATTTTTCACTTCAATTTTTATAGTATCACATTTCAGACGGTAGTTTAATATTTACAGTGATAAATTTTAAGCAGCTTTCTTTTGTTATAAATCTAATGCTTCTCTTCTGAATGAAGTTAATTTTTTCCATTGTTACAGTTTACCGCAGGAATTTAGACAGCCTTTCTAACAATTACTAACTTTAAATATTTTGTACTTGTATTTTTATTAATAAAATGTTGGATTTCTAACTTATATTTTTAACTAAAATCCCTCTATACTTATATATGAACAATATATAAAGAATATATTGACGTTACTTTCACTAAAAATCATTATGGATGAATTTTTAGCAGAAACATAGTTATATATTTCTTTGTACATAACTATATGAATACGCAAGAAAAAAGCTAATGGCGCTTAGATGTCTTCAATAAAAACCGTTTATCTTATTCATTAAAAATATAAAGAAACTATGAAAATTTATTAGAAACATGAAGATCCAAATTTATTTTCAAATATGTACATTGTAGATAAGCATTAGCAAGCAATTCTTGTCATCTACTGCGAGAGGGAGCGAATAATAAAATAGCACTTAATGAAACGAAATTCTATAAATATCTTACATTATATTCTCATAAAAGCATTTCCTGGCGAGCAAAGTTTGCAAAGGGATGTCCATCAAAGCAAAAGTAAACAGCTATTTCTCGTAAACAAACAGTCTTGTTCACATATTGACATTTCTTGTATAGGTCGTCGAGGAATATCAAGACAACATATAAATAGGTAATATATACGCCTTAAAACTATAAAATATTTGTATAAAAGTATATATGTTAAATGATTTTTACTTTCAATGAATTTATTTCAGAGATTCTAAAAGTATAATTATTACACTTGAATAAATTTCTACAAATACTTTTCCTACGGTTTGGGTCACGTATTTGTGTAGTAAAAGTTGGACCGAATAGTTACGACCATTGCACGATGTCTACACAACAGTAATCTTGAATTTGTTTTATGCTCATTTTATATTGAAATATACCTATATTTATAAAAATACAAACAATAAAAACAAAAGAACTTACAATACGAGCTCTTTCTCGATATCGTGAGTAAATATTAAAAAAGGCTACGGCTATATGAAAAATTTCATCAACATTGAATAGCAAATAGGGAGAACAAATAAGTTGTTTATTGGATGAAAGCAAATAATACACATTTAAGATATAAATGTTCTAAAAGAATTGCTAAATCTAAACAACTTTATATGTGTGAATAACCTCAATAAAATCTAATACATTTTAATCTCCTCTGTAACATTATTAAAAACGCTCAAGATTTCACTACATAGACTTATTATTGCTTTTTTATGATGGATTTCTCGTTTTTGTAACAAAGGATAGCTATTACCATCAATAACGTAACATGGAATATAAACTACATGAATACAAGTCTCTTTAAAAAAATCTTTGGAGTAATATTTATATGAAATCCTTTTAAATCAATATATTTGACATTTTATCAAAGTTAATTTCAGTTAACTTAATTTATAAATCTTCTTTCATAAGATTATTTGAATAATTCTCTTGTATAGAAATGCAACGTCTTTTCAATTATTATAACATCAAAAAAAATGTTTTAGTCTGATATGTTTCCATAGTTTATAGCAAAATATTCGAAAGTTGTCTTCAAAGGTTAGAGGTGAAAATAAATGTTGATAGCTATATTTGATTAAATTTATTAATTATAATGAGGACGAAGTTAATAAGTAGTAATTAAATCCATACAATATAAATATAAATATATGGCACCTGATATTTCATAGGAAAAATTTATTAATTCACAGCTCCATTCAATATAAATAAAATTAATATACACCATTATTACAATACTGCTTAATTTAAAAAATAAAATATTATTAATATTTAGTGTTCAAAATAAATATATTTACTTTATTTCTTTTGCAACCACATATCGTGTTTCTTTAAAACAGAGATAATTAAATTATAGAATCATTGTTTTATAAATATTGAAATCCATTACCAAGTCTTATCAGAATTTATATTTGAATATTAAATTTTCAAATACAACTAAAGCCTTATTTCTAATTAATTGGAACCATTTCGACGAAAGGCAAACAAACAGATTGTTTACTTTTAATATTAACATCAATATTATCTTTGAAATCCACAACATTTTCGGTATAATTACCCTATGAAAGTAATTATATTAGATTTATACTATATTCCAGTGAATTAACAATAACATTATTGTTTATGTATATGATAAGAAGATAATTTTCATAAACCTTTATAAAAGAAAACAAGAAATAGTATCTTAATAATAAATATGTATTAGAAAAAATCGATCATTATTTTATGTATTGAGATAAAAAATAAAACTTACATGTAACTCTAAAAAAGGATATTATCTAAGTCAAATAAATAAATTAAAAATAATAATTTTTAAGTCACGGTGCCTCAATCATAATCTAATTTGTAACTATTACAGTTGAAATGTTGTGAAATGACACTATTACAATAGCTTAGCTTAGAATGACACATTATAATCAACATCCATACATAATTTTGCATTTAGGTCTATTTGGATACTTTAGTTTGAAAGCTGATACAGCATTTTGATAACGCCTGTGATTGATCCGCTGAGCCCTGTTCCGTCCCGTGGTGTTCCTTGGAGATGCGGCGTGACACAGAAAGGCCCCGTCCAATACCACCATACGATATTCCCGAAGACACATCTCTAACATCTACGAAACAAACACAAAACCCCATGTACACACATATGTTCTCTACTGCAAAAATGTTCAAAAGCTTAATCATTTTGCGACTTTTTGCGAACAATGAACATTCTATCAAAAAATATTCGAATGTTAAAATTTTAACTCAATATTTTATAAACTGGTAGGATATTGAAAAAGAAATTATTTATAGGCATATCCTAAGTCTACTAAAAATAAAACTCAATGAAGTCAATAACAACATAAACTGTATTATATAAAATAACTGCTAAACAGATTGTAACATTTATAATATTTTTTCCAATCCGTCCCATATTTATTTTCTATAGCCCAAACAATATTTTCATAACTATAGATATTCTTTAGAGTGCATCGATGACGAAATTTTTTATCGACTTCTATGAAGACCGTTCGATGATAATGACAGAGATATCCGCCGTCGAGAATTACCAATTTGTATCGGAGAATACACATTTCAAACATCTAAAAAGTAAATTTTTTGGTTGTAAAAAGTTTGCTATGGTAATAGTTCCTTCTTAGAATTAAATTTAAAGGCAACATTAACTCTTTCTCACATGGACAAAAAAAAGGTTATCACAAATAATCTGTGTTTAGATACTAGAAAAAAGGTTTCTAATGAAAATATTTAAACTTATGGCAATTTATACGTGTACATATTGTTTTATATATTGATATAGTTATTATTATAAAAATAAATAAAAATCGACATCGTATATTTAAAAATAATGTGAGAATTTCAAAGAGAAAGATATCAAAGATGTTTTTTTTTTTGTCAAACGAATAGAATAATGGTCTTAGGTTTTAAATCTCTAGCAATATTGTCATAAATATTACCTAGTCATGTCACTAATTAACGAAGTCGTGCTGAGACAATTGCACCTACCACATTTACTGTATACATTGTACCTCGAAACTCCGAATGTCTTATTAAATTATGACGAAGTTCTCTGTTCCTATGAACTACAACAGATAATTCGATCCATTCTAGACTTAACTCGACAAACTTAGTTTTACTTGTCCAGTAAACTAATTAGGTTGTGGGAGTAATTCGGATTTCAAATATGATATTCAATTAAAATCAATTTGTATATTTGTAAATACATCGCATAACTATAAAATTCAATATTCTTTCTTATATTTTCTGAGTTTCAATTCTGCTTTTACTACAACCTTTACTTGTAATAAATATAAGGCATGAAACCATTCACATTAAATTATGTTTTTTCGTAATACTAATAAATATTATTTAATAAACATTACTACGGATAGTTTTATCAACATTTGTTAACAAAAAATCTTGAAATTGCTCTTGAGGAGAAAATATTTTCTTTTAGTTATATACAAAAAGCTTACGTTTTAAATTATAAAATTTTATTTTACTTTTGGGCACACAAAATCCAAATAATAGAAGGCGTAACCAGAGGCTAATAAACCGACCCAATTAGGTAACGCATTTGAGAAATTACAGGACTTAGGTAAAAGGTGTAAAGTTTAGAACTTTTATACTAACCTTTTTATTTAAATTCATATATGTATTATATACATACGTTGTAACATTTTTACGTTATCTATATAATAAATTGATAATTCATATTAATAGTGATGGTAGTTACTCTCAATAGAGAGTAACTCTTTTACTTTTAACCTTATATCTCTTACCTAAAGTAGACAACTTAAGTATCTACCACCAAATAATTACAAACTAAAAGTATAATTAAAGTACCTGTGCCATCTTGTCCTGTTTTCCCTCCCACGATAGCACTTCATTGTACCAGGGTTCATTCTGTGTGCCAAAATATAGTGGTTCCCAGCGATGATAAGGATACTCTCGTCTCGCGATCAACATTGGCTGTAATACAGCCATAGTGTAAACTTCGAATATAGACTCATATTGAAGGAATAATAAATAAAATATTCGACTATACATATATGCATAAAAAAATCACAAATCTGATATTACTGATATTTCCTCATATACATTTTCTTTGAATTTAAATTCAAAATCATCCCGTACAAGTAAATATATACCATAAATTTTATAAACTTAAATGTGTGTACATACTAGTCTCTTTAATTTTATTGAACTGATAATTACTTTTAATATATTTGTTGAATAGAATTTAAATGTTTAGTAATAATTAATTGTTCATATTTTCTATAAAGTAACAAGATACTCGAATTCCGTACTTCAAATCATCTCAAGAAAATATCAGCTTCAAATGATAACCAAGCTATGTAAAGTTTATAATGGATTAGTAATTTAACACTGTCAAATTGAAATTTCTTATAAGTACTAAAGCATAAAATATTTTATGTAATTAAGATTTGGTCCAACAACTTACAGAAATGGATTTAAAACAATAAACTATATAATAATTATAATAGAGTAAAGGCTTTAAAAACGAAACTTAATAAAAAGAAGTAAACGCCCTACTTACTTCAACAACAGGAGGTGAAGGCCGCAGTAACCATGATTGTAGGCCAGGGAAACGCTGACAATGAGCACAAACCTTTTGATGGAAGTACTTCGCTCGGTTCTCATTTATTAGACGAACTAACCTGTCGTAAAATATTAACGTCTTTGTTTATTTTGCTATTCATTACTTTGACGATGTGGGACCTTATTTTGTGTGTCCCATTAACTTAGCCTTGACATTTTCACAAATTAGAAACTTAAACATGACTACCAATAATTATTTTGTTTGATCGAAAAAGTTTAGTTATAAATCTAGTAAATATTATGTTATTACATTTCCTTTATAGAATATAATATATAAAATATTGTTTGTGGGACAAAGTCATGACAACTAATTTATCAACTTACGTTTCTTTGTCGCGTGGAATATCCACTCCTCTTTCAACTTCGAACAACGGCACAACAAAGACCGTCTTTGAGAATATACAACCCTCATCTCGTTTCTTATCGCCCATAAGTTTCCTCAACATTGCGAGAAATTTCGGCGCTAATCCGTTACTCGGTACCAACTCAATATCTGATACTATGAAGTAGTTTGTCCTTGATGCATTCCTCGCTACATTTCTCCCTACGTTTATTGGATATATCATATTGTTCTCTCGTCTAAAAGTAGAAACATCGAATACCTCTAGGCCAGAACAATCAGTGAATATTAATTTTGGAGGCTGTCTCTTGCCTATTTTAGCCATCATTTTCTCAATCTTTTTTTTTCTCACCCATTGAATATATTCTGCTCTCGTTTTATTATTTAAAGATCGATATTTTTGCATTTTTCGTATTTGAATATCTGTTACATTCTGTGTAGTCGTTGATATCTCAGTTGTGGTTATAACGGGCTCATGTATGCCTACTTTTGGCGGAAACATTTTGGGATAAAATAGATGTAGAGATACTTTCGACATTGATGAATAACATCGGCATAAATGATTCATTATATTTATTGCTATATCCATGTCATAATTCGGTACAAAAACTGATAAACTAATGGGACCATCCCAATATCTGGCTATCTCAACAATATGATAAATAAACTCAGGTGTTGCTTGAGTTGCATATGTAACTGCATTATATTTAGAATGGTTTGCATACGCACTACCCATTATTGCGTTATATATAACCCTGTAATTGCTAGCCCGACCACCTTCTGGAGAGGGGAATATATGAACAGTTTCCCATCTTATTGTATCTGGAAGGCCATAATTAAATTGGCAATAACTTATGTTTTCACTTGGCTGTCGACCCTTAAGAAATGCTCCTGGCCTGTAGTCAAAATCACCGATTCTCGGTGGATACCGTGGTAACTCCTGATGTTTGTAGGCATAAAATTGAAATATCAATGACAGAACAACAACAAAGGATATTATTAGAAATATTGTAGAATGTCTTCGAGTCAGCCGGTAAGAGTACGCTCCACAAACACGTAGACATACCAACATGTTTATTTCTCATGATAATAACTTTTATTTAAAACAGGAATAACATCCCTATTTTCAAACGTATTCCTTTATATTGATTACACACTTTGAGCACTCTTAAATTTATAAATCCTAATATTGAGCGTAAATCTCTTCAATTGTGATTATCATACTCAATGTTACACATATTTCATCATTTGTGTTTGGCTTTAGTAACAATCAAAACAAATCAACTGCAGAGTAACAGTCACAGGAACGATCACATTCAACAAGTTATAAATATCACAAATCACGAATTCATCAAAAAGTTAATGTATATAATAGTATAAATACTTATTAAAACAATTCAATTCTTTAATTTACGGTTATAAAAGAAAAGGAAAATTATTTGCTAAGAAACATCACATTGACAGATGCGCGCGACGCTGCGCGGAATGATGCGCAAATTAAAATCGATATTTTGTTCTCAATTTTTATGCCACATAATTGAAATATGCTCAGTCAATCAAACCAAAAGTCAACCGTCTTAATAGAAAGACATAGTTTCATAAAATCTTAACGGGTTTCTGTGTTACGTAATTGTAATAATACTTCCAAGTTAAATGAAGAGAGTATCTACCCGACTTCTATACAGATTTTCCACATTTGAATTTATACTTATAGTAGTTTAAATTCTTTTACTCAAAAAAGTTAATATACAGTACTTAAATGTATTTCTTGGCATAAAAGCCAAAAATCTAATGAATCGAGCAATTAGTATTAAATCTCCGCATTGTAATTGTCAGACACAATGACACTTCTCCTCTTACCATGATGAAACTTTTGTTTTAATTAGTTGTCAAGTACTTCAGAGCATTTCACTTAATTGGAAGCTCTCACAAGAGCTATTAACATATCATAAATATAAATACAAAATATATTTACAATATTGACGCAATAATATAAAATGACGTAAAAATTTACGCTTTTTTTAAATGTGACAGGATTTTAATATGAATATCAAATTTCGGTTTTTGCATTATATTTTAAAACTAACGAGGGTTCACTTGTTTTAATTTATTTTACTATTTTTTAAAGAAAAAAACAGTTTAAAATGTCGTAAGCACTTAAGATTAGTGTATCCAGAAATGAGTGAGTGTATATTTAAATGGAATCAAGTCGTGGAAAATTGTAATTGGCGGACGCCGTCTCGAAGCGACAGACCACATAAACTCAATTTAAACTTTGTTTCTTTCCATTCGTAGTTGACACGATACAAATATTATACAGATCGCAAATTACTCGACAAATTTAAATTCAACCTTCATTTCGAATAAACTCCGTATGTTTTTAAAAACTCACCCTGCATAATGAAAGCGGAAACTTTAGTTAATACTTACAAATAACTTATTTGTAAAAAACGTGCTTTTCCCACAAATGATACAAAATTAGTAAGTAATTACACAAAACCTTCTTTAGATACATGTAGAGTTAGAATAATACATAAGTAACTGTGTAGGTATTAAACATTTAAGTTTCTCCTCAATAAATTCTTCAGTCCCACACCAAACTATTAGAAATCGAAAATAATATTATTTTTGATAGTAGGTATATTACTTTAGTTTCATTTCATTGATGATTTGATTAAAATGAAATATCAAAAACGTTACTGAGCTTATGAAGGCGATGCAGCATTTTCAATTTGAAAGCAACCCTAGCCTCGAAATTAAAATATTTGTTATATTTTTCTCGTTGCAAGTAGTTAGGTACATGTTCTCATCTGACATTTCATCTATTTTAGTCAAAATAATGGAGTATACCTTTAAATAGATTTATTACCATTTAAATATTTAAAAAGATTTGGAGTAGCAAAACATTTGAAAAGGAAAATTGTTTATGTTTAATTTAGATATTCAGAATATTCAAATCAGTGGTTATTTAATGTTGGCATCCCTACTTTAATAAACAAATTCACGGTAACAGAAATACAGAATTGTTTACCAACCATTATTGAAAAGTGGCAAAATTTGGCAAACTTTCACAAAGTCGAACACTTTCTGGAAGTGTTAGCCCCATTTCCCTAAAAGTTCGGAGCTTTGATGTTCGGCTTCCGGTGCCCTCAAGTCAGAAGTAAGCACCGGAAGTCAGTAGTTTTAAGTTTACAACACGCTATCGTAGAACGGGTTATGAAGCAGTTTTCTTTCAGATCTTACAGAGTAAACTCTAAATTATGGACAAAAGGAGAGCTAATAAATTTCAGACTAATTTTACCTTTGTAAAACCTCTTTATAAAAAATCCGGGAAGTATAACAGAGAAAATGTTGATAAAAGTGATATTTTAAATTTTGATAGGACAGTTAAACTATGTGGCAATGACTTTAATGTCAAAACTGTGGTGGTTAAAGACGGTGAAGTTAATAATGTTAAACGTAAAGTTAATAAAGAATATAAAATTGTATTACCTGGCGTCTGCGATAGTATTGATAGTGTAAATGGTTTCAAATATAATAAAATAATAGGATTTCGTACAGAACAAATCGCCGATGTAAGCGATGATAAGAAGATTGCAAATGGTAAAAAACTAAGCGATAAAATGTTAGAAAGAAATGAAATACATAAACAAGAAGAAACAGAATTAAATGAAAACGGCGATGAACGGTATTCAAAAAATATTGATTCCCAAAGAACAAGTGCTGTGGTCATAACAAATAAGGTTTAAATTTATTTTAATTAAAATGACAATGATTTTATTGTTTTTATATTATATCATTTATCATACATTCTGTAACAAATAGATCGAAAATCTTTGCTCCAGGAACCAGACAGATGGCTCAGGGTATATCCAGCACCTAATCTTCAGGAGGAGAGCGTATATTCTACAATTATGAGATGTATTTTGTGCCAACTTGGACTTTTATCATTTCTCGTGCTGTGGACAATGATTGCGGTGTTTGTTATAGAATCTTTTGAAGGTAAAATATTAAATTGTGTTTGTGTTAAACTTTGTCAGAAGATTATGAAACAATATCTATTTGGAATATTTAATTTGTAGTATTATTAAAATCACTTTTTTCTCAAAAGGTCCACAAGAAGTAGAAGTTTCTCAGGAATTTGACAAAGCTCAAAATCAATTAGTCATCGATCTCGCGACCGAATTAAGACAAGTAAGTGATTATTTAAATATAAGTTTAGAAGTATTTTAAAATATTGTTGTTCCTTTGGGGAAAAAATAGGTTTTCTTACACTCAAATACGTGTGCAGTCCTATTTTGAAAGAAAATTTACCTTGGAAAAACCTCAGCATAGAGGTTATTTTATAATGTCTGCTACCCCCTCAACAATGTTTACCCTGGGGGAAAGTAAGCCTCTGTTCAACACATCAAGTTTCTTGGAGTTCAACATGACCCTGTCAGCTAAATGACTCTGGAATAGCCACCCACAGTCTTATGTCTTGCTGGATTTAAACCGAAATAATTTTATCCAGAATTCTGAATAGAATATTCACGACCTTGAATTAAAAGATTACAAGTTATATTAAAGTGCCACTTTGTATCAGTTTAATAAAATACGGTCTAATATTTATAAACTGCAATGCTTAAATTATTCTGTCGTGTTTAACTCTTGATTTATTGCTTGATTTACGGACAGCTCAAGTTTGTCTAGTTCAGTTACTGGAAGAAGATTTTGATCCCAAAATAAATAAACAGCCCCCACCCCTCTCACCGCTCATTCTAATAAGAACATATAAAAATATTATAAGTATTATTATAAATAATATAACGCTCTGAGAAAGTCACAACTTTATATCGATTTCTATGACAAGTATTTATTATTGAAGTAAATATGTTGAAATTTTGTGAAGCGAAAATTAAAGTACGAAACTTATGACCCTGTCATTATTTAGTTATCTTCAGGACCAAACTTTGACATGACAGATATAGATTGCTGTGGTCTTCCAAATTAAACCGGTTGGAAATGCAGATTGTAATCCATCATTAATCACCCGCCCTTAATAACAATTCTGATCCCGAATCGATTACTTACATTATAGACAACTAGTATGTCTAAATAATAAGAAAATGTTGTGAAAGTTATACTAAGTTAAGTTGACACTTGGTATTATATGTATATATCAAGTATGTGGATGTGTATATGTGGATACTAAACATTTATTAAGATATAGACAAGTTTGAACATTTTATCCCTTCTTTTGTATCCTTTACGCATCCAATCGCTACCAATTTAATCCGTTTTGTTTTCAAAATTATACTTTAAAATATGACGTACGTACGATTTTGTTATTCTTAATTTAACATTCACAACTAAAAATAGTATGCAGCGTAAAGCAATAATAAATGAAAAAATTTCAAATATATTATTTCGAATATTTAATATTAAATACGTACATCTATTTTTGTTGGACGCCCACTACGGCCCACTCATTGATTGAATGGTTGAAACTAAAAGAGATATTGGAATATATTTATAATTATACTCTACATAAAGCAAAATTATTTTATAATGATTTCACGCACAATATATACAAATATCTGATATAAAATTAATTGAGACAGAACAGGTATTATTTTATAAAGGTAAATATTGATGTTTTAAATAAAATATTTTACTCTCCATTTCGAATAATTAAAGTAAAATCTCAAAACGAAGCTCACGAAGTCTTGAAAAAAAAGAAGGTTTTGTTTTTATAGTGCAGTTGCCAAAGTAGAAAAACATACAATAAGTTACTTTTAGCGAACTCAAAATGTGACGTGAAAATTGATGCAATAAACATGCAATTACAAATTCTCAGAAAAATATCTTATATATTTTTTACTTTTTCTTTTAGAACTCTGAATTATGTATAACAAATGTAGTTGATAATAGTTTTATCCTTAAAAGATTTGTTTTAAGGCCACACTTATATAGAAGTTATAAGACTTAGAACTCTACAAATTAGGTTTATCGTTCGTACTTATTTTATAATTTGAAACAAAATACTTTTGTTTCAATATAAACACAAAAACATGCATACATACATAATATGTACACCTACGTCATGTTCAAATCGGTCTTTTAATTTCACAAAATATGTATGATATATATTCTTGAAAAATATTTGTCATATTTAATTCATGAAATAACACGACGGGTACCTAACATTGTATGTGGCAGTTGTGGCTTAAACTTGATTGAAATATGTTATCAAAGGCAACTTCAGCTAATAAACACCTACCGAATATGAAAAGCATTAAGAGGTTCCTAAGCGATCCTGCAAATACCTCGCTTATTAGAAGTAATTAAGATCTTATATCGATTGGCTTAGTTCATGCAATTTTAGGCTGTATCCTTTAGTCTTGTTTAATTGTTAGGAAATATTCGAGTTGCGAGATGGCAGAGGCCTAAAATTCACTTGCAAAAGCGTTTCAAATTCCTATTTAAGGATTATTTGATATCAAGATTTTTACTAAGGTATTGCGAACCACAAATTTTTAATTATAAGAGTAAAAATCTTATTTTTAAATAATAATTACTTAAATAATAATAATTCTATATACGGAATTAAAATATTTGAGTTCAACCTGATAAATATACCCTCTAAAAATAAGTTATTTACGCATCAAATTGTATGTGAAATAAAAATAATAATGTTCAATGTGGTTACCCGGTATCATCCCACGACTTTGGAAACAAACTTGTCAGCTTTTCGTTTGAGTTAGAAAAAAGGGTCAAAAGGAAAATTTTCTAAATACTCGTATATGCAAATTCTCAACATACTAATAAAACGAAATAAAAAACATCAAACTTTGTCTTTATACAAACATTTGTTCACATTCCTAATATAATAGCTAATAAATAGCTTATAGTTACACATTTTGAAGTTGTTTTGTACAGTTTATATTTTGCTTTATTGATCAGAACTGGACAAAATAAGTATTTACAAATTAGAGTTCACTATTTGCAAGCAATATTTTGTTTTATATCCTTTGACATACGAAAACAACAAAATACATCGGAAAATTTTCGAAGATTGCTTCTTTAATTCGTATAACCTATAAGACTACTCACGTAAAATGCCTTCCAACTATTACCACGATATAATAGGTTTCTGTTTTGTTTACATTTGGCATTATAGTCTTATCTACATGGATAAAATCCGCAAAACGTAATTAAGGTGTCGTATGACCTAGATTGGTTAATTACTGTACAAGAACTTATTAGGCTACTTTTATTTTGCACTGTTTCATCCACCTAGACACCGGAATTAAGTTCAAAGATAAATTAATACATACTACAACATTAATTAAAATAGATATGTTCAACTGACAGTCTGTAACATTATGACTTTATACAAAATACAACTTTCATGGAGTGTTTTGTAGCAAAATGATTATTTTTTTTTACAAACGATAACTGTTGCGTCAATCTAATGTTTAAGTTACTTAACTTGTAACTGTCATCAAACTGTTTGATAGGTTTTCCTTGTAAAGGTAACATCCATACATCTTGACACGCTCTCGTTTATAATACTAAAATAATATACCAATAATGAATCTGTCTTTTCAGATTACTAGCATATAAGTAAAATATGAAATAGAAATTTATTGAAGCGTATTTACTATTTATCCTTACGCTATTTTTCTGTCATCAATGATAAATACCGAGCAACAAATGATCAATCGATAACAATCACGGTCAGACTCGAAATAACTGTGTGCGGTTCAAATATTCAATCTATTTCGCTGCGAATTTTTATTCAGATTTAAACTTTACCAAACTATTTGTTATTGAACGGTATTTCAATATTATATATGTAATATTTCATTCAGTAAATATATGTACGAATATAATACGTATACTAAATTTTAGTGCGAGTTTTCGAAATTTATATACAAACACATATCAACAATAGCATTTATATTATTTTTAAGATAAAATAACATTGGTAGGAATGTAGTACAAAAATAAAATCATTTACCATTTTAATTTTCATTAATTCTTTAAACTAAATTCATATCTTTAAACGAATCTCAGAAAAGGGAATGCGAAATTTTTCTAATAACATTTTTTTTTACTTTTGGTTCAGCTGTTGCGCAAATAAAAGGTCCTTAACAAAGGAATCCAATTCAAATCTGTTGACGTCTTGGATAATATTATGGAAAAAACTTTGTTCAAAGATAAAGCAGTTTATATTAAATATTGAGTTCAGACAAAATAGATGCCAACCATAATATTTTTATCTTAAAAACTTCAAGATTATTTTTATACTTTATCTATTTTCCTACATACAAGATTATATTTTTATCTTCAAAGGAGTTTCCATAAAAATGTCAACAGACTTAGTTTCTCTAAGAATATATGGTCTCCCTTATTTTTAACCCCTTATAACCAATATTTTTCTCTTTGAACCTGCATTCTAATATTAACTCCTCTACTTATTTACTTACTATGTATAAACTTATTGCAAGATAAAAATTAAACTTTTTTGTTTATAAATGCTACTTCATGAATTTTATTTATACACTCTATTTACAATTTTAATCCTGAAATATAAAAGTACACAGAATCAGAGATCAACTTTCAGAGAAAAGTTTCAAAGACCAAGGAACAAAACACATATATTTTGTGTAATACCAAAATAAATCTTTTGTTACTTCTACGACTATAATTATGTTAGAAATCAATGCATAATTAAGGGTATATAAATTAGTAATTACCTATTAATAAATATTAGTAAAAACTATTCCTTTAATTTTTCTTCTAAGAAATACATTGCTTAAATATAATTAAACCTTTAGAATCTAAAGTTAAAAGAAATAAAAAGCAAAATTTCAAATAGTTGCTGAATCCAATGTAATTCAATGAATTGAGATTCGGTACCAGTGCTTGTACAGTCTTAATTGGAGATGGGAATGTAGTCTTAATAATGGGAACGTACCGAATACACAATTGAGTGAATAAAAATGTTAAGTCATATGTATATATTAAAACTTAAAAATGTTAACAAAGAAATTTTGTCTTAAAAGTAGTTAGGGTCATTATACAAACGTCAAGAGAATATTTATGTTTATTATTATTAAAGTTTAACAATAATTTGATTGTGACTGAAAATATATCATATATAAATAAATATATGACCTAAAATTATTTGAACTCTTTCAGTCTCC